AATCAATAATAATAATTAATAACTATATTAATCATGGTTATAATAAAAAAAAAAGTGTCAAAAAGTTCCTCACTTCAAGTATCTTATTAATAAACTAGTTTATAAGCTAACTTAGAGCATCTCCAACAGCTTCTGTAAAATAGAAAAAATAGAAAAAAATGAGGATTTTGAGCAAATATTTTGCTCCAACAACTTCCACAAAACTATCTTCAAAATGAAGAAAGTATGAGAGAGAAAAGTTTTTTCTCCAAATATAGAGAACACTCGAAAATAATAAAAATTGAAATCACTGATTGAAAACTTTGAAAATAAATATTTAGAGAGAAAAATAATATTTTAATTTGATTAATAAAATATTTTAATATTATAATCAATGTTGGATTATTCAAAATAGTGAATCTGTTGGAGATGAATATAATTTTCATTTTGGAGATTTTAACTTTTGGTTCTCAATTCTAGATAGTTTTTAAGGAATCCGTTAGAGATGATCTTATAAACTGACTTATGTGCATTCAAACAATTATTTAAAAAAAAAAACTTATGTTTGCCAAACAATACCGAAGTACATTCCATTTCGTGGTATTTAAGCATAACTTAAACTAAAAAGCTTTTGCACTTTAATATTATAAAGTAGAAATAAGAACGTTAAATAGAATGCAAAAAATAAAATCATCGACCATAAAATCTAGAACGAACAAGTGTTAAATAAAAGAACAAACTAAATACAAAAAATGTCGGATCGGGTTTTCAGTGGCATACAAAGTTAAACCCATCTTTACAGAAAGCTAATAATAAAGTACAACTTAACATTTTAAATAAGTTGATCTATAAAATGACATTTCCAGTTATTGCATTTGTGAGGTTAATATATCTATTTATTGACGTATGTTGTATTTTAAACTATTTGATGTAGTTCAAATAATTATGATTAATACTTTATATAAGAAAATAATTAAAACTTATATGAAATTAAATATTCATCAAATTAAATGTATAGTTGAGATTAAATTGTATTGGTTATACAAATATAAGAGATTTGTATAATAACTCATCTCTGTCTCTATATATATATTAAAAAAATGTTGCGAATAAAAAAGGTGAAAGTAATAAATAAAAAAATCAAGTGTCAATCACGTAAATGATTAAGACTATTTTGGGAAAATAGAAGCAAATAGTAGTACTTGTAATAATTAGAAAATAGAAAATAAAAAACAAATTTAAATGAAAATGTGTCCAAATGATAAACAGCTCACACCTCTCACCACCGATATAACCCCCACTGCTCTCCTTCTTCTTCCTCTCTCTCTCTTTCTCTGTGTGTGTAACCAGTAATTACCAGACCCTTCATTCTTCATCTTCTTCTTCTTCACAAAAACCCTTGTGATTTTATATGCATTAGTGGGTTGTAGCTTACCAACCCTCAAGAACACAAATGGAGAATTTCCATCTCCTGTTTCTTGTTTTATCATCCTCTGTTTTTGTTCTCAGTTATGGGTTTTCCAAGAATCTTCCCACTTTATCGTTTGATGAAGGCTATTCGCAGTTATTTGGTCATAATAATCTAATCGTCTTAAAAGATGGCAAATCTGTTCACTTATCTCTTGATGAAAACACAGGTTTGTATTCATGAAATGAATCCCATCTCCATCTCCATCTCATATATATATATATATATAATATCGTTTTTGGGTTTGCAGGTTCTGGATTTGTGTCACAAGACCTCTACCTCCATGGATTCTTCAGTGCCTCCATTAAGCTTCCTGCTGATTACACAGCCGGTGTGGTTGTTGCTTTTTATGTGAGTTTTTTTTATAAAAAAAATCATGAAAATTTGTATAAAATTCATGGTTTATTGTGTCTCTGTTCATATTTATTCAATCAAAAGTGTGAATTCTTAGGTTAAATCTTTAAATAAACAAGCCAATGCAAGAACCAAAATACCCAAGAAAAAGAAAAGGAAATTTGTATTTTTTTAGTTTGTATTTTGTAATAAAATACTAGAATTATTATTATAATTATATTTTAAAATGGGATTGCTTGCATCTTGGACTAATGTTTTGCCCTTTTGTCATTGAAGTTTGATAAAAAAAATTGGATTTATTGCTGCTCCTTATTTCTTGATAACTGTTCCTTTTCTTTATTCACAGTCAATATTATTAAATATTTTCTCCCTAAATCACTACTTTTAACTCATTTTCCCCAAATTTTAAGCTGGGGACCGCATTTGGCTTATCAAATTAAGCTTGTTCCTGTTTGGTTTATGCTAAATTCAGCACTTTAATGGGATTGAAAACTAGTTGTTAATGACCAAAAGAACCTAATATATCTGACTTGAAATAATGAATGTAATTGGAACAGCATTAAGAAATAGTGAAAGTAAAATTTCATTTTTCAGGGGTGTTGTCAAGTTCTATATACTCTTTACACCCAAAAAGTATGCAACTTTTTTGCTCTGTCATAAATAATTCAATTCTTTCCAGTTTTTCTTGGGATAAGTTTTGGATCAAACTTTAACTATTCACATGTGAATGATTACCAGTTCAACTTTGATTTCAGTTCATAAGTTTGTTCGATTTTGTCTTCGTGTAAGAGGCGTATTTGTTGTTCGATTGGTAATCAACATTTTGATCGAGCTTTGCTTCTTTATATGTTGTTTGCAGATGTCAAATGGAGATATATTTGAGAAGAACCATGATGAAATTGATTTTGAGTTTTTGGGAAATATTAGAGGCAAAGAATGGAGGGTTCAGACCAATATTTATGGGAATGGAAGCACAAACGTTGGGAGAGAAGAAAGATATGGTCTTTGGTTTGATCCTTCTGATGATTTCCATCAATATAGCATCCTTTGGACTCACACTCACATCATGTAAGTTACCATCGTTCATCGCTTATTATGAGTCACGAACGTAGCTTAATTTACATAACATGTGAAGTAATGAAGATGAAATCGGAAAGGGTATGCGTTGAATAGTGATTTACGATAATTACTGAACACTCGTAATGCAAAGTAAATGTCGTGAACCAAATTTGGTATCGTAAATGGTTTGTATTGATTAAAGGTAGTTTTTTTGGCATAAACTTTACTGAATAAAGGAGAACCCAATATGGAAAAATGTATTCTTGGTAGCTTACATTCTTTCTGCTAAAGTTCTTTACTTTTTTTACAAATTTGAATTATGTTATGGACTTACTTTGCAAAAAAGGCCTCAATTGAATGTTGATTTGATACCACATGTTTCTTTTTTTCGAATTAAAATGGTTTAAGAAAATTGTTTGATTATTTGTCGAAAATATCGAGAATTCCATGCAAACTTTGTAGAAACGGAAATGTTGCAAACCCTGCCTTCGAGTGGAATATTCTGAGTACAAATGAGAAGCAAAACCCTGAATAACATGCATTTTCATCCTGAAAAATCACTTGTATTCATTATGAATAACATGCATCTTCATCATGAAAATCACTTGTATTCATTATGAATAGTTGGTTCTCAGGTCTCAAAATTTAGGGTTCTGGTTTGAACCTGACCTTATGTACGTAATATTGTTAGGATCTGAATGATGATGCATGATGTGGGATGTCATGGGTATGAAGTACTTTATGGTTTGCTATGGAAACCTGGTGAAATACCCAAATGGTCCATACCACATTATGTCATTTTTTACCATTTAAAGCTGTAGGCATAATGGCATTTGTGGTACATTGTATGTAGTAATAAGCCTTTTATGTAGCAATAGTGACATCTCTGAATTCTTCAATCATAACATCACCTGCATCTGCAACTCTTCAATGTTTCATTATTACCAAAGTTCTCAAAATTTAAATACAGAGGGCAATTTAGTAATCTCCTTTGCCTTTTATAGTTTGAGAAATATGTCATTTAATAAGATGCTATGATAGCGGGCCCGTTTCGTATTCCGTTTTTGACATTTTTGGGTTTTGGTCAGATTTTATGTTGACGATATTGCGATAAGGGAGATCAAACGAACAGGATCGATGGGCGGGGACTTTCCGTCGAAGCCGATGACTTTGTATGCAACGATATGGGATGCTTCCGAGTGGGCTACAAATGGAGGCAAGTATAAGGTAAATTACAAATATTCCCCTTACGTTGCCGAGTTCTCTAACTTTGTCCTCCATGGATGCACGGTGGACCCCATTGAGCTCTCGTCGTTCAAATGCGAAGCCACACCAAAACCTAACACGATCCCTACGGGCGTCACGCCTTCACAAAGGACGAAAATGGAAAGTTTTAGAAAGAAGCACATGCAATATTCGTATTGTTATGACAAAATAAGGTACAAAAGTCCGCCATCCGAGTGCATGATTAACCCTAAAGAAGCTGAGCGGCTGAAGAAGTTTGACCCTGTGACGTTTGGTGGCGGCCGCGGCAGCCACCACCACCACCACCACCATGCGAAGAGACACCGCCGGAGCCAATCAGTATCTATTTAAGGAGGAGGGTCGTAGTTTTCTCTGTATTGCTATAATTTTCTCTATAATTACGTGGTTATCAGTTTTTGGTTGATTTTTATGTGAATAGAGATAAAATTTGTTTGGTGTTTATGGGAAAAATTGTTTTATATTTGGGCGAAATTGCTTCATCTTTTTACCAACTGTGTGAAACAAAAAATACATATGAAACAAACACATTATGAAACAAATATATATCAATCAATATATTAACTTCTAGTATTAGATGAAAAAAATCATCTCAGAAACAATACGTTTCGGATAGTCGTTCTCACTCATCACAATATATGGAGTTCTCAACTATAATCATATATTTTTATAATTATGTTATTTAACATAACTATTAATTTAATTTTAATAAATTATCTAATATTAAGAACAATGGATGTATTACACTTTTTTAATTTAGTTTTAATGAATTTATCTGATATTTATTAACGTTATTCTCTATAACTTTTCTCATTAATTTAGAGCTCAATAAAAATGAATATAATTTAAAAATAAAATATTTTTATTGGGTTTTATATAATTCTCATTTAATTCAGATCATCTTTATCTAACAAACTACAAACTGAAGTTATTATTATTTTCTTTATTGGATTATGCTTATTATTTAAAAATAGAGGTATATACAATCAATATAATCCATGTCAAATCTAATACATCTCACCTTAAAATCTCCACTTAACCATAAAAACCAGTTTTTTTTAAATACATAAAAAAACTTTGCATCATACCCTTTGGCTTTTAAGGCTGCGTTTGATACATGGGACGGGACAGGACATAACGGGACAAAACTCACTGTCCCACGTTTGGCGCGACATGGGATAAGGACAAGAACTGGAACAAGGTGACACAGCATGGGACAAAAGAGGTTTTTTCTTGTTCCACCAAAATAGGTGGAACAAAATGGGACAAAAATGTGACAAAAAGTAAAATATTACTAATCTACCCTAATTTGATATATAACTTTAATATGATATTTGTTTTAATGGTCATCACCGCTAGTTTCGGCCGCCGCCACCACTACTGACGGCCACCTCCACCTCCTCTTCCACTACAACAACATCCTCCACCGCCTCTACAACCACCGTCCACCAAGTCCATCACCACCTCTGCCATAGTCGACCACTGACCACCACTGTCCATTGCCACCACCACTACCGCTGTTTGCAACTATCAACTCATCCTCTATTGCAAACAACCTCCTCCACGACCTCCACCAGCCACCACCATTCATTGCCACCTCACCTCCACCATAACCACCACCACCACTATCTTCACTACATCAACCACAACTACCTCCTCCACCGTTGTCAACCGCCACCACCAGAATCTACCATCTTCGTGTCCTCTATAAACCACCGTCGTCCATCAAGCACCACTGCCTCTACCTCCATAACCACTGTTGGCCACCAACCACCACCATCCGTTGCCACTAATACCGTCAGCCACCACCACCTCCACCATAACTAAAACCACCTCCACCAACACACTACTACCATCAATTATATCAATTTTTTCATTCAAATTTGGTACAAATATGAAAATTATGTACAAATATTTATAAATTAAATTCTTTAATTATTTACTTTATTTGTGTTAATTATAACTATTATATAATATTTAAAATCATCAAATAACTTTTGGGGATAGCTTCTTTAGTTCTGTCCCGTCCAGTCCTAGTCATACCAAACACCATACATACTCCTGTTATGTCCAGTCCTGTCCAGTTCAGTCATGTTCAGTCATGTCCAATTATGTCTGCGTACCAAACGCTACCTAAGAGATCAGGGGTTCAAACCTCACCAAAGATAAGGAGGGTATCTGAGTTTATTTGTTACATTTACCTTATATAAATATTATATACTTCAAGAAGAACAACCAACTTTGCATCTTTGGCAAAATCCCAACCAAAATATTGGTAGTAATGAAAGTTGGTACAAATTTAACTGATGTTGCACAGATATGCAGACACCCCCAGTGAGGAGCTAAAAAAAGACATGTAGACTTTACTCTCCATCTCCAAGAACTCAAATATTTCAAAATCAAAAGCTACATACCCATGATGGGTATCTAGCCTACAAAGTTACCTACATTACAAACATCAACTCACCAAATTCATCCAAAACAAAAATAGGAACTAATCTTGACCATCTTGACTCTCATCCTTTACAAGTCTGATCATGTCATCAATTCGAAGGATCGTTATAGCTGCTTCAGTTGCAAACTGCGACAGACAGACGATGGGTTTTCTTTAGGATTAATTCATCTACACTTCTAACAATTCGCTAACAATTTATTTACCTGTAGTATCTTCACTTTGCTCATTGCAGGTTCAATTACGCCAGCTTCTAAGTTGTTACGAACTGTACCCTTTACTAGGTCCAAACCCATGCTGCAAATTAAGATTCAAATAGCTTAACACTATTCATATACATATTACATACACAGCAACAGGATCGAAAGATGTCTAAATGTCCTAATACACGCTCTACAAGACTTGACTTTATAGAATCACACAATTGTGCTTTCTATGTAAAGGTAAGTTATAATCATGTTTGTAGGGCAATTTTGAAATATAATGGCCTATAAACTTTTTATAACACTTTTGAGAAGTCTCTTATGAACTTTCTTTTTATAAGATACTTTCTCAAATAAGTATAAGAAGACTAATATGATGCTTTATTTCAAAAGTACCCTAAGAAACTTGTTGGGATGTCTAAAAGCGTCTATGAACTTATTATAACACCTTTACATAGGATGCACCATTGGTTGGTCATATAAAGCAGTCTAGTAGACATATAAACATATTTGTCATCCTATAAAGCCGATTTTATAATAGTGATACCGTAGAATACATGGAAAGCAATATCTCAATAACTAAGGGACTACGTTGATCCCATCTATATCAAAAACTAAGAAATCCATTTAAAAAAGGGAAAAGTACAATAAAAACCAATGAACTTTCTTGTTTGGAATGATTAAGTCCTTGGACATTCCAAAACATGTTAAATAAGTCATTGGACAATTTTTTGGAACAAATAAGTCCTTGGACAATTTTTGGAACAAATAAGTCCTTGGACATTCCAAAATATGTTAAATAAGTCCTTAGACATTCCAAAAAATGTTAAATAAGTCCTTGGACAATTTTTGGAACAAATAAGTTCTTGAACAATCCAAAACATATTAAATTACTTCTTGAACTTTTATAAAACATGTTGGATACATTCTTATGACTTGTATAACTAGTTAAAGTGGTAAAATAGTGAAAAAAAAACCCCAATGAACATTAATATTTTGAACGATAAAGTGGTAAAATAGTGAAAAAAATCCGGAAATATATTTTGTCAGTGATTTTTTAAACTAAAAAAAATTATAAAATATATTATGTTTAATTAAAATAAATTTCACCAGTAATCTTTTAAATTTTTTTTAATTTAAAAAATCACATACATGATATATATATTTTTAATTAAAATAAATTTAATAATAATTATTTTTTTTTGAAAAATCACTGACAGAATATATTTTAATTTTAATTAAAATAAACTTTATCAAAAATCTTTTTTAAATGTAAGTACTTTTTTGTTATATTTGTTTAATTTTATAGATCTAAATGCTTTTTGGTTCAAAAAATATTTAGGGGCTTAATCGTTCAAAATATGAATGTTCATTGGGTTTTTTTCCGGATTTTTTTTCACTATTTTACCACTTTAACTAGTTGTACAAGTCATAAGAATGTATCCAACATGTTTTATAAAAGTTCAAGAAGTTATTTAACATGTTTTGGATTGTTCAAGGACTTATTTGTTCCAAAAATTGTCCAAGGACTTATTTAACATATTTTGGAATGTCCAAGGACTTATTTGTTCCAAAAAATTGTCCAAGGACTTATTTAACATGTTTTGGAATGTCCAAAGACTTATTTGTTCCAAAAAAAAGTCTAAGAACTTAATCATTCCAAACAAGAAAGTCCATTGGTTTTTAATGTACTTTTCCCTTTAAAAAAAGCAAAAGCTTAATTTATTTTTGCCTATTGTGATGGCAATTTTTGAAGATAAAACAAGTTAATTAGTCATGTAAGTGATGATAGCTACTCATCACGAGATGGAATTATTAACTACAATCGACTAAAAGGCAGAATCTCACCTTGATAGATGTTTCTTATCTGCCTTGGTTTGTGCAGTGTGGTGATAGGCACGCAGTTTGGCTACCAAATCAGTTGCATCTTTTGCAGCGTTGACAGCAAGAACCTATATAATAAGTAAGATATTATAGTTGGTAGTAATGAGAAGAAATTAAATTGCATACTCGAAATAAAATTTGACGATACCAAACCTTCGGAATTATCAGCAACGATTCAGCGAATTCTGCAATTGCCAGCTGCTCTCGAGATCCCAAAGTTGTAGCAAGGTACTCCAAATATACAGATAAAGCAGCCTCAGCTGCACCTCCACCTGCAACCACCTGATCCCACATTTCATCAAGTGTTAATGGAAGGACAATCCACAAACCATCACAAGACGTCAAAAAAACAGTATCGCTTTATAACGAAAAGTAAGTGGTGGGTCGTACTGTATTGGATTCCAGGGTCCTCTTGACGATACATAAAGCATCATGCAAAGCTCTATCCATCTCATCAAGCATATAGTCATTAGCACCTCTAAGTATTAGGGAAACCTGTTGAAAAAATCCCAAAAAAGATCAGATAATGATACACTTTTTTATAATTTAAATCATAACTACTCTTTAAAGAAAGACATCACAGATCCCAAGAAATAAACAACATTTTATTCAACAATGAAAATAAGTTAAATCACATACCGCACTCGAAGTTTTAGTTCCCTTGATCATGATAACATCATCATCTGCAATCCGCTCCTCCACTACTTCATCTGCATATCCTAGGAACGATGAATCAAAAGTTTCTTCTCCTTCCATGTCGGCAAATGTTGAAACCTGCACACGGATAATAAACTAATTTCAAGATCAATGTGGACATGATATCAATGATGGATCATTCTATAAAAAATGTGATGCAGCTATTGAACTGTTAGACCAAAAAATTCTTCAATCGCAACCAGAATCTGAAAAGATCAGAAAAAAGAGAAAACAAACATCAAATCATCTAATGGAACTACAATTTCCAAGCTGAGAACTTTACCACAGTTGCACCTGTTGCCTTGGCGACATGGCGTAAATCCTCCTTCCGCACTCGTCTAACAGCAATTGCACCAGCTTCCACAAAATACTGAGTTGATGAAAGAAAAATCATTAGAAAGCTGCATATTTCTAAATATGTCTAATAAACACTACTAAATTCCTATGCAACTATGCAAGTTTGAGTCCAAAGAAACATGAAAGGAAAAATTACATATTATCCATCAAAATCACAAACTTTCACCAAAACAACTATATCATCCAAAATACATGCAGCTTACTTTGAGTGCCATGTCATCAATTCCCTTTGTAGTTAAAACAACATTAGCACCAGCCTTTAGAAGCTTTTCAATACGTTCTTTCGTCATATCAGCTTCTCTGTAAAAAAACGAGGGCAGTCAAGTAGTGTATTTGCATCACCCCAACACTATCACCTCTTTATCTCAAATAAAAATAAATACATAATGCATAGACCAAATAACAATCAATCTTTCGGATCACCCTCGGAGCCAATACAAATTTAAAATTGATATTAAAACTCTTAAGACTAGAAGTGATATGGATGCATTGGACTTTTTTATATATGTGAAAACCAACCAAATATAATTCCAAGACTTCACAATAAAGACAGACATATGTCCTACAATTTAACAATGTCCGTCAAATCCGTATCTATTTACAAAGAGATCTCAACAATGAGATGTTTTTTAATAGGACTAACATAAACCCCCTACTTTAAAATCTGTAGCACTAAATCTTATATTGCATGAAATAATGAATCTGATCACCTTTGGCGGATCTTCTCTAATTCCCGTGGGTCGGTGACTAAAACCTGAACCCCCAATTGCATTTTTGTCTTTTGAAGATTAAAATCGAGACAGGCAATCCTTGCAGGAGCAACTCTCGTGGGCATTCCTTGTGCTGCTCGGCCAGTATTAAGAGCATAACCTTTCAACAAGTAGCTTTCTTTAGCACTTTTTCCGTGAGCTTTAAGGATATTAATTCCCTAAGTAGCAATAATTGAATTGGTCAAGTCAGTTCGCATCTTAAATAACAATTCCAAAACTTTATGTTTCAGGTGTGATTTCTCATACATATGGTACTATTTACAACATGATTCGTGGACTCCCCTACAAATCTGCGCAACAGGTATTGCACAAAACACTAACGACGTTGTCAAGAACCAACCTTGATTGGATATTTGATTTCACCCCGTGCATTGGTCATTTTAACAGCTTGTACTGCTTCAACAACCTAGAGATGCAACCAGTGCATGTTATTTCTTCAGCATAAGGAAGTAAAAAAATATGAAAATATACGCAACATCAGTTAACAACAGATTGCTTCTACCAGGTATGAAAATCTTACATCCTGTATATGTGAAACTGAGAAGGAAGAACCAAAATGTGATAAAGAGTGAAGTCCTGAAACTAATTCAAGCATAATTTTTTTTGCAAGAACACAGTTATCAGTTAAGCTGATCTCGCAAAGATCAAGTTTTATACGAATAATTTCATTAGGTGTAGATGTGTTAAGCTGCTATCATAAATCCATTTTATTACTTTATTGTTTACAATGGATGAGGTAGACACAGTCTATTATTAGTTGTCACATGGAGATGTACTTTTCTTACAGACTTTGAGTTTCGATGGTCTGCAAGTAGTTCTTATTGACCCTGATAATCTATGACCAAGGCTGAGTTCTGTTCAAATAAAAAGTTCATAACCAAAATAATGCGGGTGAAGATCAACAAAGATTATCTTCAATCACTTGTGTTAGGAAAAGCTTCAACATCGCAAAACAATTAACACTTCTATCCCACGTTAAGTTGTTCATTCTCACCATTTGTCTGTCCCAAAGATCTCATAACATCAAATGAGTACACTCAATGGTTGTATAGATATAATCAATCCAGACGTTAAAGATTTTGAGGGAATGTGCCAATCCTCTTATTCTCCATCCTGTAAGGGTTAATCTAAAGTGTGTATGTTCGAAGAAAATGTAAGGGGGTATGTTAAAAAGAACTAAAGAAGAATGAACAACAGCACCTATCTCCATGATAAAGAATGCTGATAAATTACAAAAACATTAGAAACTTCATCACATATAAGAAAAAAAGTATACCAAAAAGATTTTATTTTAATAAATAAAAAAAGCATACCAAATTAGCAAAGAAGTCAGAGTCACCCGCTAACAATTTCGAAGACATGCTTGTCTTCGCACAGTTCACAAGAGAATCCTTGCCAAGCTTGTCAACCTAAAATAAGAGAGAAAGAATATACATACTAAGGTAATCATAAGAGTGAATATAGTCTGACATTTCTTTAAGCTAACAATCCACATGCATCAGAAATTCCAATTCTAGTAAGAAGTAACTTTTGACATATTCCCATATTACTTTATAAAGATTAAAGAGCATTACCTTGACGGCCAGCTTTTCCTCAATATATTTGCATGCTTCTCTCATCGCAAGCTATCAACATACATAAAGAACCCATGAGTTAAAAGATGTTAGCAACAAAAATCAAGTCACTAAGCCTTAAGCCCGTATCACCAAATATGTAGAGATAGAGAGAGTTAGAGAAGTGACGGTGGAATAAACGAAGGGAGAGAAAGGAAGCCAAAGTATTGGATAACACTCACTCTGTATCCACTTATTACAGATGTAGGGTGAATCTTATTTTTGACAAGATCATTTGCTCTCTGCAAAATCATCAAAATTACAAATTAATAAACATTTTACAACCAAATTCAGATCCATTTGAAAAAACTATGTCTATGTACCGATCAAAACAAGGATGCATGTATAAGGAAAAAATACCTTGAGCAACTCTGCTGCTATAATGACCACAGAAGTAGTGCCATCTCCTACTTCTCTATCTTGAAGCTCAGCCAATTCAACAAGAACCTATATAACCATAAGTTCAACGAAATCCAACGCATTAAACATGCACAGAACAAAAAGTCAATAAATAAAGCAAAAGCAAAGTACCAAAAGGTACAGTTCTCCATATCTCACCTTGGCAGCTGGATGTTCAACGTCTAACATCTTGAGAATTGTAGCACCATCATTTGTGATGGTCACATCCCCAATATCGTCGACCAACATCTGAGACACAAACTCAGATCAACCACGGTAAGGGAATTTATTTTGATGGAAGATGAATTATTAAAAACAAAATGAATACAAGTGCAAGACATAGAAGTTAAAAAGCACAACTTTATAATGAGTTGAAATGGCCTTATTTACCTACCTAGTACCTATTAACTTGATAAACGACAGAATGGAAAATTTTATATGAAGAGAAGATGGACTGTGTGCAACTAATAAGGGACTACTGATAGTAGCAGAAACCTGGTCATTTTCCTTTACTTCAACTTTCTCTTATGTCCAATTCAGCTTGCTACAAAAGATTTCAACTAAATCCACCAACCCATGCTTAAACAAAAGATTCTTATCCATCCAAGCAATCACTCTGTATCAGAACATGTTTCCAGTATAAGGGCTGAGGTAAATATTAACTGCCCGTGGATCAAACTTCAAAGTTGGAACTATGTATACAGTCTCACCCTCATTGGTTACAGAGATAACGACACATAATCAAGGTATAAAATCCTTGTCTGGAACCACAGAAGCATATACTTAAACACTACGGAGATCCTTATTATTTCAAAACCTATCCCCCACCAGTCCCTAGATACCATCACAAACTATTACCATTCACACTCTATCTGTCAAGTCAATATCTGTCAATAAATCACCAACATCTGCAGTAAAAAGGTAAATTTAGTCCCTTGTTATTTGATAAAAAAAAATATTTTTGTTGACCACCATATTTTTTGAACCCAAAATCCTCGATCGTTGGCCAGGGCAAAGGGACTCCTCTTGACTTTGCATGCTCCTAAGCTTCTTTATTTAAAGCATCATAACATCAAATCAAAAAAAAATTGACTGCTAGTCTCTCAATCCCATCATAGCAAAAACTTATACCTGCTAAATTTTCCTCACTTGCTAGTTGCTACCTGATCCAATGTTATAGATTCATTATCATTGAAACTAATAAGAACATCAACATCTTGTTATGAGAATATGATGATGTTAAAGTAACAACATCCACACCTAGCCTCGACACAACAGCTAGTACTCTTTCAATGAAGAAAAAAAAAAGCTCCATTATGGTTTATCTGAGTTAGTGCCATTAAAAGGCAATGTGTGTTGTTTGGGCATATCTGTTATGTTAAATTCAAAAATCACATCCCTTGTTTAGGGGTTATCATTAAGGTGATAGTTTATTAGTTTTACACAGTAACACTTCCCAAGCACCAGGTAGAAAACTGAAAATAGAATCCCCAACAATATGGAGATACCATTGTAGCATGTCAAGAAGGCAACAAGACAACCTCTTACATTCGAAATTATAATGGGGTGAAGCAATTTTAGGACTATGACGCATGATCAATAACCACTGCACTGTCCTATCTGATGCCAGTTCTTGTATTGATAGGCAAGAAAGAAAAAGAACAAAAAGAGAAGAAGAAGAACACTAAATATTAATAGGCAACATCTCCGGTTTTCACTAATGGATTCCAGTTTTAGCCTACACAGTTAGTTTGGATAAAAGGCTTGTTACCCTTTCTCCATGAATAAACTGAACCAACAATTAAGATAAGCACGAAAATTAAAGCTTCTACAATTGTCATTGAACCACTCTTCGGATAATCCAAGTTGTAAGAGCTAATTGGAAAGTTATAAAAGATCAATTCAGGTATATCAATACCTAATGGTTACATCCACCTTTTAACCCATTTTTATTACGAAAACAAGTTTGATCCAGAGCACGCAAATGTGCATAAATCTAACATTTTGAGTTAACTAAAGCAATAAAAAACAACAGAAAAGAAAGGTAGATGCTAAATACCTTGTCAAGTCCAACAGGACCCAGTGAAGTCTTGACTATATTCGAAACAGATTGACAAGCAGTAACTGCACCAAATGATTCAAAATTAGTTGATCATGGGTGTACATTTCCATTGTAAGCAGAATCATTAGGGTTTTAGAACTTCAACACATACTATTTTGGGTTCGAACATCTTGACCAGATTGACGATCACCAAGTATATCAAGGTTTTGTGAACCAAGCGACATAGCTGATTATACGATTATTACTGTATCTGAAGCTAATCTGATATTCTCGAAGAACCCTAATACTGTGAACACTTCTGGAGTTCCTGTCTTTGAGGATTTTCTGACTCGGCCTATTTATAAAGCAATCGTTTTAACTTGAACCGGGCCGAGTTGGACCGCTAAACAATAGCTTCCATTTTTGGTTTTCGGTTCGATTTGGATCCAAATCAAATTGAAATCGGGTTTTCCAATTAAAACCCATCTTTTTATGTATTTGATTTATGGTTCATTTATTAGATAAGTGTTTATCCACAAAAGAAATATATTTCTGTCATCAAAATATTAATGAAAATTTCATCAAATAAGAGTCATCATTCTCATCTATCAGGTATGATCTTTTATATTTGTCTTTCATTTTACCGGGTAAGATTTTTGATCCTTATGATATTCATCCGATTAGGTAATTGAATCAGTAAACGCTTAACAATGTATGTGTTTAGTTAACGACTCCTAATCTGGTTTATTGTAATGCAACATGATTAAATTTTATTATAATTAAAATTTATAAATTAATGTAATTCTTCATTGGTAAAAATCATAAATTTATGAAGTATTTTGGATTTTTTATAATGGTTCAATATTTATCTTGTATTTAAATGTGTTTATCAATTGATTTTTTTTATGGAGTTTTAAGAAATTATTCATATAAATAATACATTCTAAACTTGAATTTTAAGAGAATGTGTATTAAAAATTGGAGATTTTTTTTTTTGCCAAATATTATTTTATAATATAATAGAGATATGTAGAGTAAAATAGAGCTTTCTTTCGTGTAGTTTGTTCAAAACATTGGTCTTCGTCAATATAATTTAGAAATTACAAAACGTTTCCTAGTGATTACAAGATCTTATGATTTTGATTTTTTTATTAACCTAGATATCCAACCCGCTATGCAAGCCGATTAATATTACGACGACCACATGTTTTGCTGGTAGCCTAGATTCACTGCATTTTGACTTTCATGGTCACAGAAGATTTTTATTACTCGTTGGATTTGAACCTAGTACCTCAAGATACTTTTGACCTTTAGAGTCCAAGTTCAATCCAATCAGACATCATCCTTGTGGTTATGATTTTGATTATTAAATATAAACATGAGTTATTTGTAATTTTCTTTTATAAGTTTGTTGAGTATAAGTTGAATCATTATTTTTAAGTTTACTTTTATCTTAAAAATTATATAATGCTTGCACAATTTCATCAAGATGCAAAAAAACATATGGTAGGTATATTGATTCTTATGGTAGGGTATTTGCTCTCAGTCTCACCCCTTTGGATCTCATGATGTACTGATGGAACGTACTTTACCAAACGCTTACTCGGATAAGCTCTAAACAAATCACATTACTTTATCGGATTAATATGGTAAGGACGAATCTTACCTGGCAAGAGGACCAAGAGTCTTACATTGTAAGTAAGGGTGACGACTCTTATCATGGTAAGTGCTTACCTAGTAATTGTTACATACGATGTCGTTTTGATGGACTAAAATCTTACCCTGATAAGTCTTTTTTATTAGCAACTCGATCGTATATTTTTGTATACATTAAAAGAATAAAATGTATGAATGAATTAAGACATGATTACAAGTGTAGTTTTCAAAGAAGAACAGGAACTCATGCAAATCAATTCAGAACATGAGTAGTACGTAGCAGGCAGTCAGCTAGGGAAGAGCACCACAAATCCTTCGTATTACACCTTCTTCACCCATCAATGGCCTGATATCCCCCATCTTCACCATCGCTGCTGCAAAATCCGACTTAAACTTGGAAGGATTGTTACTATATTCAGAGACAATGCTGTCTGTGGATCCACCACTAAAAAGCACTTGATCTGATTCAAGAAGACCCTTCTTCTGAATCAAGTTCTTGAAGTAGTTGTAGTCAAACGAATTGGGTGTCACCAAATCTAGTGGTGCCAGATTTCCATTTCCCTCGTTTATCGGGCAGCCACGTCTGCGGGTGCTAGCAAAACCAGCATCGATGTCTGATCCGTTGCTGTATATCCGGTCACGAAACAAGAAACATTGAGCTTGTCCAATAGTATGAGCTCCTGCATCCATTCCAAGATCGATATTAGTAAACATTCCGTTATAAAAACTTGCATCTGTATGAATTTTAGGAAGATCAATTGATGGATAAGTACCTGACAATGCAACCATGTCCCTGGCACTAAGTCCATTATCGTCGAACGTTTTAATAAGCGAATCAAGGGAAGCTTTAAAACTAGGAAGACTGGTTTCTGCAAGAGCAAGGCTAGCAGTGGTTGAATCTCTTCTTCCAAGCTTCACAGACCACGAGGGACCACCCACCATTTCTGATGCATCACGAGCAGCCACCGTGAGTATATCTGCACAAGAAACAACACCAGGACATAGTTTCTCAACCTCGGATTTTGCAGCCTCTATGACTTCATAACCTCGTACAGAACCCTTATTAGGCAACGCATTTCTTTCGCTTATGATCGAAGGAGCGTCTTCTAGCAAGATTGATGCATCACAACCCTGAACGAAACAGTCGTGGAAGTGGAGACGGAGGAGGGAAGCTGCCATGCGACGTTCGCGGGATATTGCAGTCCGAATGGAGGTTCTGATTGTACGTAATGCATTAGGACATGTACCATCATAGAATGTGGAGGATAACTGTGCTTCGCAGGGTGTATAATTGTTGGTAACTGAGAGAAGGATGAAGAAGAAGATTGGTGCAAAATGAATATCGAGGGACGCCATTGTTTTGTTTGTGTGAATCTGATGAACATAAAAGAAAAGAGAAAGACATATTTATAAGTCTCTAAAGCGCGTGATATATATATTATGAAGCTGTCTTTGTTTGATAACAGTTGATTTGTTTGACGTGGGCAGTGGATGATGCTCGGAAGCTATCACAGCAACATGAAATGATTTGACTTTTTCAGAAAGTCAATGATTTCCTCCTTAATTCAAACATGTATACTAAATTTTGTTTTAAATATTACGAAATTGAAACTAATTAAAAATATACTACTTAATGTGAATTTACATATTTGCCCCCGTAATAGCTAGCTAGTTTGCAGGGCCGGCCCTATGGGTGGGTAGTCCGGGTGGGAGGCCGGGGGATCTTAAATTCAATGGTATCAAATAGCTCAATATTAATTGTATAGTCATTAAAAATTAAATGAAATTATTGTTAAAAAGATTTGAACTTAGATCATTTAGTATTATCATGAATCTTTTACCAATGAGTTGGGGATTATTTTATTTATATTTATATAGATTCCGATTTTAGTACTTCGCTCCTCATTCTCCATTTTCTTTTTTCACTTACGATTAATCTTTAAAGTTTATTTTTGTTGTGCTTTTATAACAATAAATACTTATTTGAAATAAAATTAATAACACAATTAATATTTGTATAACTTATTATTTTAAAAAGACCCTATAATAATACTTGAAAACTTATTATTTTTGTTATGTATATAATTTCGTCAAACATGTTTATTCAAGAAATTGATTGTGAATTTGTTGCTCGGTAAAAGACATCTCATCATCACCAAAATCCCATTTTTATTTCAAGTTTCACATAATTTCACTACGATTCTACATCAACTGATGTTGGTGAAATGTACAAGGTATTTAATATTTTTGCAAGTTTGATGTCTATATAATTTTAATTTATTTGATATATATGCTATTTTAGTTATAATATTTATTAATATTATATTATAAATTATACTTATATTAGTTCATATATGATTATATAAATAAATTCTAAAACATAAAAAATGACACACACACACACATACACATATTATGATTCAAGAAAATAAAAAAGAAATATAAAGTTTTACACCATTTTGTATGAAGAAATTGCGCGAATGATTAATATGGACTAATACCATTTGAACAATTTTATAAACCCTAAAATATATTTGTGTTTTTTTTTTTGGTTGAGACATGTTTTAACGTTTCCGCGTAGGACATCAAAAAGCTTTGGACATACGTTATTAGTTTATATTATTTTTTCCATGATTTATTTTGGTTTAAGCAAATGATATGTATGTTTTTATTGAGTTGGAGGTTCAAATATTTTAATATATGTTGGTTGAAAACAACATTATAGTTATAAAAAGGGTAGTGTCATTGAGGGCTTTTTTGACATTTTTGTTTTCATCCCTACATAAACAACGTTAACACATATGTTTGCAATCTTTGTCTTGTGGCAACAAACCCCACAAACTTGTGCATGGTGGGGATAGATCAGATGTAGGATAAGACCACGATTATCGGGCCCTCAGAATCTAGACTTGTTTGAAACCGATTAAAAATGGATCCTATCTAAATTTAATCCAATGGTGCTGTTTAATTAAATTAGGATCATACATTTATTTGTCTAAAAAATACATATTTTAATCATATCAATCTCTATGATCCAAATATTAAATTAATATCTTTGTTCCAAAGAGGTTTTCAACATTTATTTTTTAAATAAAATTTAGGAGCTGTTTGGTTAATGCTAAGAAATGAAAATAACGGAGATTGAAAATGGGAATGAATTTTCATTCCCTCTGGCTTATAATTAAAAATAAAAATTTGGGCTTATGTAGGGAATGAAGTCATTATATTATAGAAAATTCAACAGTTTCTTTTATTTTCATTCTCATTGATTACTGTTTAATATATTTAAACAAACACCCCCTAAGATATATTATATGAAGTTGCTTAAAAAGATATGATATATATATATATGTATATATATATATATGGTGGCTTTCCGCTTACATAAAACCAAATCCTGCAAATTAATATGACCAAAGAAAACTTCAAAAAAGCCTCCACATTGACATTAATTTTGTATGTATATACAACGCAACCCATTATCGTAAAAAATATCATATGATATACTTTTAATATATAAATTAACATTGAATTCACCTTATTTTAACGTTCTTCATCGTCATTTTAAACTTTCAAGGTTAAAGTAAATCTTTTTGGAACAATCAATATTAGATTCAAAAGACTATGATGATTATAGCTTGGTATCTTATTCATGTTTCAAAGATAGCATAATACTTAAAAGATTTATGCACTCAATTTTAGTTAATAAAGAATCAATAATGTATAAAAAAGCAATGGTAGTTTTTAATATCTTAACTATAAATATACATTACTAGAAAATAGACTATCAACGATGGATATTACCGATGCAAAAATCTGTCCGTATTTTCAATGAATTAATTTGAAATTCGTTGGTAATAATCGATGGATATTGATTAATTAAAAAAATAAATAATAAATAATCTGTTTGTAATTTCATTAGTAATTAGCGACGAACTATTTAAAAAATATTCAAAAAAATTAAAAAAGTAAATAATCTCTCAGTAATCCGTCACTATCTACCAATGGCTTATTTAATTTTTCCAAAACTCAAGAATTAAAAAATTAAATAATTCTTTGGTATGAACAAAGAAAACGTCAAAAAAAGCCTCCATATTGACATTAATTTTGTTTTTGTATGTACATGCAATGCAACCCACAAGACTTCAAATATTTCAACCTACAACTATATATATATATATATATACACACACATGCGTATGACCAGATCAAGTCCATTGTTTAAATTAAAAGCAAGTTACATATCCAGTGGCATGCAAGGTGAACAAGTAAGACCTGTGTATCCAGCGATATATCTATCGTTTAGCAAACAATTAGAGACGTTACGCGTTAACCAACCACTACTATAAATCCATGCTACTTCCTTTTCTTTACAAATCCATCTCTCATTCAATTCAAAACACATCCATGGCTTACGGAAATCGTTTTGCAGCTATCTTCTTCTTCATCCTTCTCTCTGTTACTAACAATTATACACCATGTCAAGCACAGTTATCCACTACATTCTATGATGATACATGTCCCAATGCATTACGTACCATCAGGACCTCCATTCGGACWGCAATCTCTCGTGAACGTCGCATGGCAGCTTCCCTCCTTCGTCTCCACTTCCATGATTGCTTCGTGCAAGGTTGTGACGCGTCAATCTTGCTAGAAGATGCTCCTTCAATCGTGAGCGAAAGAAATGCGTTGCCTAATAAGGGTTCTGTACGAGGTTATGAAGTCATAGAGGCTGCGAAGTCTGAGGTTGAGAAACTATGTCCTGGTGTTGTTTCTTGTGCAGATATACTCACCGTGGCTGCACGTGATGCATCAGAAATGGTGGGTGGTCCGTCGTGGTCTGTGAAGCTTGGAAGAAGAGATTCAACCACTGCTAGCCTTGCTCTTGCAGAAACCAGTCTTCCTAGTTTTAAAGCTTCCCTTGGTTCGCTTATTAAAACGTTCGACGATAATGGACTTAGTGCCAGGGACATGGTTGCATTGTCAGGTACTTATCCATCAATTGATCTTCATATAAAATCCATACAAGCTTTTATAATTAATGATACGTTTACTAATATCGACTGGTCATGGAATGAATGCAGGAGCTCATACTATTGGACAAGCACAATGCTTCTTGTTCCGTGACCGGATATACAGCAACGGATCAGACATCGATGCTGGTTTTGCTAGCACCCGCAGACGTGGCTGCCCGATAAACGAAGGAAATGGAAATCTAGCACCACTAGATTTGGTGACACCCAATTCGTTCGACTACAACTACTTCAAGAATTTGATTCAGAAGAAGGGTCTTCTTGAATCAGATCAAGTGCTTTTCAGTGGTGGATCCACAGACAGCATTGTTTCTGAATATAGTAACAATCCTTCCAAGTTTAAGTCGGATTTTGCAGCAGCGATGGGGAGGATGGGTGATATCAGGCCATTAATGGGTGAAGAAGGTGTAATACGGAGGATTTGTGGTGCTCTTCCCTAGCTGCCTGCTACTGCTACTGCTACTGCTACTCATCATCTGGTCCTGGAGTTTTGAGTTCCACTTCTCTCTGAAAATAAATACTTTTAAGCATTTCTTCTTTCATTCATTTTGTATTAATTCAAGTGTAAAGCAATAAAAGTGTATATACTTTTATTCAAGTATTTAGTTACCAAGCAATGAAATCAAAAAAGGGAAGGTTTTTATAAGAACTACACTTTATAACATCACTAAAACAAATCTTTAATGATATAATATGTTAAATAATAATAAAAAAGATGGAAAAAGAAAATTTAAATAATATAATAAGTTAAGTAAAAAAATTAAATTGATTTGACGATAAT